ATGTATTGTTCTACATGTGTCTGCCCAGTTGCTGGAATTGAAGTCACTGTGCTCAATTTTTCTGCTGTAACATGAAAGTCTGGGAATACCTTCTGCCCTGTACCCAGAGAGCTTTGATCTCCAGAGCCTGGATTGGCAGAGGCTGGGAAGGCCCCTGGTGAGATGTGGTGCTGGGGGGTAGTATTCTCTGCTCCCTGGTACTCATCCTTGTTCGCGACTTAACAGCTGGTGACACCAGCAGTTCTTGGACTGGGCCTGGTAGAGCCATATGAAATAAAACTGAAAGTTCAGGTCTCATTCCTGTCATTTTGCCAGCAGACCTAGAAATACCAGGAAACGTAGGACCAGTTAAGTTTCTCCATCTTATTCCTGGTGCTCAAACTTTGAGAGAGCACGGTGCAGGCACTCAAGCTGACAGGTGACCCCTCCTTGCACCCCTAGTGCAATGGCATGCTGCTGCGCTCTGTTAATCACTTTTGCTAAAAGGCAGGGATTATCACCTGTGACTTTGCCTTGACTGCTTCTAGGCCAGAGCTAGTCCAGGAGCACAGCATCATACTCTGGTACGTGAATTTTCTACCCAGACTCCCCATTAGTTCAGCAGATTTCTTCAGCTCATTCATTTTTACAGTGCAGACATACTTGGAACGGCAGCTTGCAAACCTGGATTCATTTCTTTGTGTCCTAGGAATGGGCAATGGCTGTGACAAGTCTATGTGCTGCTCCATCAGGACAAGCATGATGTGTTTACAAGCAATAAGCAAAGGGGATCAGAATGTTTCTCAATTCATTTTACCTTCAGTCTTCCTGTGCCACTTGAGAGATCAAGGAGTCCTTCTGGCTGAATTTACTGAATATTAATCACTGTATAATAAAGCCAGGAAACAAACCTCCCTGATGCTGGAAAACTTCAAGGAATTGTTTAGACTTAATCCAAAATTAATGACATTTCCTCTTCACTTCTCCCCTTCCTTCTTTTTCTTGCTACAGAAAAGCATGTACACCCAAATTGGGTAACTCTATGCATCTGTTCCAGGAACTGAGAACTGACAGATTTCTGTTGCAATGCCCCATTGCATTTTTGCACACACAGGAGAGTTAAATACTATTCTGGGACTCTGCTGTACGTAAACAACCCCCAGCGTCGCTGCGTCATGAAATCCTTCAGTATGAGGCAAAAAAACCCTTCTGACTTTCACATGAATCACTCTGTTAGCTGCCAACAAAGTGCCCGTTCCTTTGATCCCAGACAGAACCTTATCCCTGTTTCTCCTGTGGGAGCAACCAAACGTCTGAATTCTCCTGTAACCTTGCCAGAAATGACAAGTGAAGAAGTGACATACGCAAACCTGAAGTTCATGACACTGGAAAAATCCCAGGACCAGGAGCTCCAGACTACCAGAGCGAAAGGTAGTGGTGGTGTTGGGGGGCAGTTCTTTCCAAGGCAAACTCCTTGGGAGAACATTTTTTATGTGACACTCAGAGGAGGATGTCATCTGCATATTGTATCTTGGCTTCTGGAAGCCCTTTGGATTCAAATCTTCTAAGAAATTGGAGGGACAGAAAAAGAGCAGGAGATTTAAAAAATTGGAAGGTTGGAGAATGTGGAAAAACTGTTTTAGATTTGAGAGGAGAGATATCATTAAGGTTGTGGGATGCAGTTAAGTAAAAATAAACACGTTCCAGTTAGACATTAAGTGTCAGGTCCTGGAAGTTAGTGAAGCAATCTGCCTAAGGGACTTTGCAAAAGTCTCAGCTTTACTCATCTAAATCTGACTAACTGAATGAAGTAAATGCTAGGGAAAAAAAACACCTTCTCTCAAGGGAAGAGATGGACAAATACCTTTTTGTACTTAAAAATCATAAAAATTGCGCTACATAGCTTCATAGAGGAAGGGAGGAATGTGACTGATCCCAAATCTATATTCTTTATGCTATGCATTACTGCTTTAGGATCACTCTGTATGAAAGGTAGTAGCAAAGCAAAGAGATGTTATAGAATCATTGACTCATACAATAGTTTGGGTGGGAAGGGACCTCTAAAGGTCATCTAGTCCAACCCCCCTGCCATGGGCAGGGACACCTTCAACTAGATCAGGTTGCTCAGAGCCCTGTCCAACTTGACCTTGAATGTTTCCAGGGATGGGACATCCACCACCTCTCTGGGCAACCTGTGCCAGTGTTTCACCACCCTCAGCGTAAAATATTTCTTCCTTTTATCTAGTCTATATCTCCCCCCTTTAGTTTAAAGCCATTCCCCCTTGTCCTGTCGCAACAGGCCCTGCTGAAAAGTTTGCTGCCATCTTTTTTATAAGCCCTCTTTAAGTACTGATAGGCTGCAATAAGGTCTCCCCGAAGCCTTCTCCTCTCCAGGCTGAACAAGCCCAACTCTCTCAGCCTTTCCTCATAGGAGAGGTGTTCCAGCCCCCTGATCATTTTCGTGGCCCTCTTCTGAACAACAGGTCCGTGTCTTATGCTGAGGGCTTCAGAGCTGGATGCAGTACTCCAGGTGGGGTCTCACCAGAGCAGAGTAGAGGGGCAGAATCACCTCCCTTGACCTGCTGGCCATGCTGCTTTTGATGCAGCCCAGGATACGATTGGCCTTCTGGGCTGCAAGCGCACATCGCTGGCTCATGTCCAGCTTTCCATCCACCAGTACCCCCAAGTCCTTCTCGGCAGGGCTGCTCTCAATCCTTTCATCCCCCAGCCTGTATTGATACCGGGGGTTGCCCCGACCCAGGTGCAGGACCTTGCACTTGGCCTTGTCATGAGGTTCACACAGGCCCACTTTTTGAGCTTGTCCAGGTCCCTCTGGATGGCATCCCGTCCCTCTGGCATGTTGACCACACCACTCAGCTTGGTGTCACCTGCAAACTTGCTGAGGGTGCACTCGATCCCACTGTCTATGTCATTGATGAAGATATTAAACCGTACCGGTCCCAATACAGGCCCCTGTGGGATGCCACTTGTCACCAATCTCCATCTGGACATTGAGCTGTTGACCACTACCCTCTGGATGTGACCATCTAACCAATTCTTCACACACCGGACAGTCAAATCCATACCTCTCCAGTTTAGAGAGAAGGATGTTGTGGGGGACTGTGTCAAAGGCCTTACAGAGGTCCAGATAGATGACATCTGTAGCCCTTCCCGTGTCCACTGATGTAGTCACTCCACCACAGAAGGCCACTAGGTTAGTCAGGCAGGACTTGCCCTTGGTGAAGCCATGCTGGTTGTCTTGAATCACGTCCCTGTCCTCCATGTGCCTTAGCATAGCATGCTGTTCCAGCATGACTAAATGTTGGAACATGAATTTGATAAATTTTATAATAATCTAGTAGACTAAAGAGCTCTTTCTGAAGGAATTTTCTCTTATTGGCTAGCCAGTGATCATCTCATTCTCACTTTTTGAGGGGCCCTTGAGTTTTATACTTGGAGGCTGAAGCTGAACTCCCAGTAGTCTAGTAGGGTTCTTCTCAACTGTTTGGTTAAAGGGTTAGGGAACACAGGGAATAAAAGGCAGGAATACCACAGGTTGATATGCCAGTTATTTCTGTTGGTGACTTCAACATAATATTAGTATTCCCACTGAAATTTCGTACTGGAGTCTAGTAAGAGAACACAAAAGTCATAAATTGGAAGCAATCCTTTCCTCTGTGTTTTGGGACTGTGTAAATTCACACAGGTGTTTGCATTTGCCCACATTGCAAGAATGGGTGTGTGCATTTCCATGTGTGAAACTGTTTCTGTGCAACTGCAGGTACATGATCTTGTTCACATCTGTATGCCCTAATTTCAGATTATTTTGCAGGGGCCTGGCTTTCACTGGTGACTGTTGCTGAGGTTATTTTCTGAAAAGGTGAATTCATTCCCAGTTTGGCAGGTTAGGCTACCCCAATACCTGGCTGCATATGAAAATTTCAGCCATGTTGTAAGCACAAATACTTCCTTGATGTTCTTTCCCCACATGTGAAATTCTGTGCTGTTCAGCTTTATTTGTCCAATTTGTTTTCTCTTAAAAGCTCCTGGCTAAGCTAGTCTCCATGGTTTGCTTACTTCCTAGCCCCCAACTCCTAAGGAGGGCTGGCCACGGCCAAACGATGGGACAATTTTCGTAATGTAATACCACATACTGCTCTGAAACTCAGCAATTCACTGGGCAGACTACTGGGCATGTTGTCTCGTGCAATGTAGGAGCTGCAGCTACAAAGATGAGAGGTTCCTGTTCTTGCTGCTTTCCTTCTTTTTGTCTATCCCAGATTCCCCCAGTCCATCTTCCTGTTGGCGACTGGCTACAGTGGCACTTGGGGTCTTCTGCCTAAGTTCAGTGGCAGCTGCAGGAGTCTTGGCTGCCAGATGTAAGTATGGTCACAGAAGGCGTGCTCAGAGTTCAGTATGAACAACTAAAAGTCTAGGAAATTAGTTAAGGAAAAGGATTAGCCTAGGGTATTAATGATGCAAAAAAGTGTCCCTTGCTGGAAGAGTTTACCCACTCAAGAGGTCTCCCAGTCTTTGAAATCGGGATGTATTACATCTTGCTCATAGGTGGGCATGAACTGTATGTAGGTCAAGTATATTCAGTGATGGGGAGGTTCGTTTGTCTTTGGTAAGTTTATTCAGGTTGCACTGAGCAGTTTAGCTGTAATATTAATGGAACAATTTCATTCTTGTTTTGCTGTGATTCAAGTCATCCTGGTCTGCCACCTTCTGCGTGAAAGGGATGAAAACTTCACCCTGCAAAAGGCAATTATGGAAAGCCTCAACCAGCAGCTGGAGCTCCTCCAGGCTCAGAATTTGAACTTGACAGAGACTGTAAAGCAACTTGCCACCTCCAGAGGTACATAGTGGTGGGAAGATGATAGTTCTGTCGCATTATGGTAGCCACAAATTGATTTTTTTTTCTATCAACCATATTGGAAGGAAAAAATCAAAATCTCTAAAATTGCCCTGAACTAGTTAATTTAAAAACAAATTTCAACTGAGTCAATCAAAAGGCTGCATTTCCATTTTGGTCATTTTTTAAGTATCAGTCTTTCTGGAGTACGTTTATTGAATTTTTGTAATAGAGCTGGTTTATACCCTAAAACAAATATTTTAATTCAGAAAATACCATGATGAGGCACTTTTAAAAAAAAAAAAGTTTCTAATAGGTAAATTCATTGATGCTACTATTCCTTCTTTCACAATCAGTTTCAGTGAATTATAGTAAAAAATTTTTGATGGAAAATTCCTACTGGCTTTAACTGTCTGGAATGCTTTGACTCCTCAAGACAGCTTCATTCTGTTATGCAGTCATAGATGCAGAAGTGTAAATACTGCTGCTCTGTAACAAATGGGATTGTAATCACTGGCTTTAACAGTTTACAGACTATATGCTGAGGGTATTCTTGTGCAAAATAATGGTGTGAAACTTTAATGATGGGTGAGCTGAATATGCTAGATTATCATATAGCAGAGGGAAGAGAATCATAACAAATTCACATCTTGTGAGAGAGTGGCAAGGTTATTATCTATGTAAATGTCTGCATTTGAATTGAGCACAAACCATAAGCTACTTGTAAGAGTCAAGGGCACTGTGCTGTGCTATCTATTGCCATCCAGCATCAAGTCCTGGCATTCCCAGCTGGCACAGGTTTGTTACGATACACAATCGTCCTGTGAACTGTGGAGCAACAAACATGATTCACTCTATATTTGGGACCCAGTTCTCAGAGATCTCCGAAATATTTTGTCTGGCAGGTCTTTTTGCTGCTTGCAATTATTTGAGTTTCCAACTAGAAATGGAGCTCCCCAAATGGTGCAAGAGTGAAAGAAAAATCCAACATTTTGAGTTCTTTCTGGCTTCAGTGTTACTCAGGGTCCCAAGAGGCAGCTAACAGAACAATGTGGCAGAAAAAGTCAAAGTGCAGCTGTCAGAAAGGTCTTTCTTTAATGGGCTCATTATCTTTCACTTTGGCTGGCCATCACTATCTGATGCCTGCATGCTGAATCCATAGCAAGCATGAAATGCTACCAGAGAAGTTTAAGTATTAATTGCATTGTAAAGCATATAGCAGGGAAGAGCTGGCCCTGGTGTTGTTAACAAGAAGTTAAAAGTAAGTTTGCATGAATAGAGATGTACCCATATGACTGGAAGTCTAGGTTTTCTTTTACGTCCACCTAGATCCATGTCTCTGTGAACATGGCTCAACCTTCCAAAATTTCTTCTATTTTCTACTAGCACCCTCCAGGTTTGCTGGTCAGATTTAAAAAATCTTTATTATTTGTTTTTCTGATTTTCATTTAGAAATGTTTTTCTGGTCTTCTGGCAACTGGTTTATTAAGTCTCCAATGATGACATGAATTTAGCTGCAGAATGAAGGAGGAATTGTTGCTCCTCTGTGACAGGGAGGCTGTGCACTGCTCTGGTGATCCTGCAGGGATCCACTAGACCACTAAAGACTGCCATCACTGACAAACCTGATCAGGTGTTCTTTTGTTTTCAAGGACGTAAATGTATTCCTTGTCCTGAGAAGTGGCTACAATATGGGGAGAACTGCTACCACTTTTCAAAAGAATGGAAAACTTGGCAAGAAAGCAAGGCTAAATGCTCTGTTCTGGAGTCCAGACTTCTTAAGATAGAGAGTAAGGAAGAGCTGGTAAAGATTATTTTTTTCTCTCTTTCTAATTATACACTCTGCATTTTACTGTGTCCTGAACAGCCATGCCATCCTTCCACTGGTGCAGTATGTTATGGCATGCGTGTGCTGGACCAAGTGGAACCATGCCCCTTTGGAGCCCCTCTACCTGTACTGTGGCTGCACCCTCCCTGGTGCATCTCTACTGACTTCAAGGGAGTTAAATGAGACACACCAGCTTGAGTCTACATCTAGATCCTCATCCCACCTCAGGGCAAATATAACTGAGCTAGTACTGGTTGGCAAATCTTTTGTTGTCTTGCTGGAGCAAGATACTTAGCAAACATCAGAAGCCTGGCCTTCAGCTTCTTGCTGTCCACAACTCGCCGGCGTAGCCTGCTCCCCGGCCTCTTCTCCCACATGAACAGAAGAGGATTTGTATCTTTTTCTGACTCCTAAGCTGTAGATGAAGCAGCAGATAGAGCACCGCCAGAACTGCTCTTCGCTGTGAAGGAATTTCTATCCAGACCTTTAATGGCAATGGGATTATGTCTTGAACTCTGTGGTTTCATTGTCTGTATTTAGAATTTCCTGTGTACAATGATAGCAAATGATGCAAAGGCCTTTTCCTGCCTGACTTATGCAAACAGGGTGTTGGAAGGAAGTCATTATCCTATACCCGTTACCCAGCTAATGTGCAGGCTTCGGTTATCTCAACTGCCCTTTTAGCTGAGAGCTATTGAAAGCTATCCCTTATCTCCAAAACAGCACTGGCTGCCAGGAGTAGGAGGCACTGCCCAGATTCACTTGCGAAACAAAGTCTGTTACGCACAGGTGTGAGCAGCTCGCTTTCATTTGCCTCTCTCCTTTTCCAAATCGTAGGCTGTTATGACTGAAGCAGGGATGTGATTCACAGGCTTTGCATTTATTTCCATACAGGACTTCACAAGGCAATCGGCACAGTCTTACGGTTCTTACTCTTTCTGGATTGGGCTGTTTCACAACGGAACTGAGGGGCCCTGGCTGTGGGAGGATGGATCAACTTTCTCCCCTGATCTGTAAGTCGCTGCACAGATAGGAGCAGACCACGTCCAGGCGTATTGGTTATGAGCCAGAAGCAGCAACCTTTAACCACCACTCAGTAATTGCCTGCTTGCCAGCAGACAGGTTACCCATCACTCACTCATTTATCAACCTAGGCAAGCCCACATCAGAGAGCTTGTATGCTATTGTGGGTCAAATGGGTAGCAGCAATCGGGAATTATTGTATCAGCCTGTGACTTTTTCCATGGGATGATGAATAACTCTGCTATTTTTTCACAGGTTTCAGATCTCACGAGCCAGCTCAAGTTCTCTCCTAGATTGTGTGAGGCTTCAAGGTGCAAATATAGACACTGCATGGTGTGGCCAGTACAGTTTTTACATTTGTGAGAAAGTGGTGGATCCTGCGGTGGTCGAGCAACTGGGCTACTCGGACAGGCACTAGTGTGCAGAGCTCTGCAGAGAGCCCCATCCTGGGATATGCCATTGTGGGGGCGAGTTCTGTCCCAGGGTTTGTGATAGGGAAAACAAGTCTGAGCTCAGGTTAATGTAACATCAGGGATAATCTAAGCTTAACTTTCCCTCTGGTGATGCACATTGGCCAGACTACTTCTTGGGCTTTTTCTTCAACAACTTCATTCCCTCTTTCTTCTTTCAGCCCTTGCATTCTTGTGTAACCACTTCTATCCACTTCTTATGAATTCCTTTCTAAATGAAACAAAATTAAGTATATGATTCCAGAACTCTATTTTAAAGATTCATACCTATCTCCCAGAAAGAGGAATCAATGACCGTTTGTAAGAGCAACACATCATGTTTTCAAAATCCTTCCATCGGGTATTCACAGATATGAGCTCCCAATTTACAATAAATTTCCAAATATTTGATATATTTTCACTCCCCACCTACTGATAACTAGAAAGTGCAACAGAATCAGAGCCTGTATTAAAAGACAAATAAAAATATTTATAGTTCTCCTGGTTAAAGAGAAAAGCTTTCAAATGGGATTGTATGCCCTATGGGCTCAAAAAACAGAAGGCAAATACAGAACACATCCTTATTGAGGAAAGTCA